ACATACATACATACATACCAAGCAATTGTCATGTATTGATATATCTAACACATAAACTAATATTCTTATTATTAGCACTCAAATTTTTAATATCACATGAAAAATATCAATTTTACTAACTTTTTAAAAGTCAAATGCATCTTCTCATGCATAGGTATAATGTAAACACCTAATTAAAGAGTTAGAAATGTGATACTATAAGAATTGTGTGGTATGTAAGTAAAATTCTCTTTAATATTTTAGATATGCGTTCATTTTAATTTTTACATGTAAATTTAGGCATTGGTTAGTAAATTTAAACTTTTTTTTAAGCCATGTCAATAGTTTTTTAGGGTTTAGGATTGGTTGGTTGAAGTGGAGGAATGCTTCAGGCCAATTGTGTGATAGAAAAGTACATCTTAGATTGAAAGGAAGATTTTATAAGATGGTGGTGAGAACCGCAATGATGCTAAATTTGGTCATTAAAAGAAAAGCATAAGACTAAGTTAAGTGTTCCCGGGATAAGAATGATTAGGTGGATGAGTGGAATCACTTCATACTTAAAAATCCTTGGAGAGGTTCTTCCACTTTATCTATATATTTTTGGGTCTCTCTCTCTCTCTCTCCCCCCTCTCAATCACACACAAAAACGCACACACACACAACACATACCTTTTTCACTTTGGAATAACCTAAAAACTAAGAGAATTCAACAAAAAAGGAGGACACCAAAAGGTTTGTAGTTCACACCTGAATAAACTTAATGAGCAAATGATGGCGATGAGACATAAAACACTATAACATGTACTGAGGGTAACACTACATGCCATTTGGTTCTTCAAAACCAGTGGTTCCTATAAGGGTACCAGGTAGTAGATCATGAATAACATTACTTTTTATTCTCACAAGTGAAGATGAAACCTACTTCTAAGAATGTGAATATTCTTCTCCTTGTGATTATAAGTGAGAAGGAAGAGGACATGTCACTATGAAGAGGAAGATGCATTTGGAGAATATGTTCTATAGAGAGGTTGTTAAGATTTAAGTGTCTTAAGGTTTAAAAATGTAGCCTTGGATTCTTATGAGTGGAACTATTATCTATTCAATAAAGTAGATTTGTTTGATTTAGCAGTCTGCCTACTAACGATCAATGACATGCTGAAATGTTATTTTTTCTTCATGATTCTCAAATCGTTTACCCTTTGTTGGCTCAACTATTTACAAATTTAAGAGAATTTTTATTTCACAATTTGTCAATGTACTGAGATTGCAAAAGAACTAGTAATCATTAATATTAATATTCTAAGTACCAGAAAAATCCCTACAAAGTTTAATTGGTGACACATTTTCAAAAAGAGATGATGAATGTGAAGGGTCAAAAATATGTTGTAACCCATGAATTGCTCACCAAGAACTTAAGGGATGGTATATTGTGTTGTGCTATTGAGGTTACACCATACCAAGATGCTTATTGAATTATTGGAGACAGCCATGTTGGTTGCCTTTCTGAAAATAATTTAATTTTATATATGGATAATTTTAGTTTTGAAAATGGCATTTTAATTTTGAAAAATGAGTCAAGGTAGATCTAATTCATTTAATAGTTTAGATAATCGAGCACAATGCCACAAGTAATACATTACCCTGAAAGATAAGTGCATCCTTTGTTAGTAGACTCAACCATTTAAACTAAGAAATTTATGATAATTGTTTAGTCTGTGAAATTTGAGACCGACAATTCCCCTATTCAATAGAAAGATTAGATAAGGTTTATATTACTTGGGTTCCTAATTCTCTATAAGGGTAAACCCTTATAATTAATTACATCTTAACGACTGAAATCACTTAAGAAAACACTCGATATTGACTAGAGGTTTTTTCTTCAAGCATTCAAAGTTAATTTTTCAGGATTGTTTGTACAAAAAAGTTAAGTGGGAATGGACCAAATAGGAAAAAATATTGTGAGAGAGTAAGGGAGCAAGAAGTAGGGGACGTCACAAATCTTGATGCAGACCTCAATGATTTCCCAAACTATGCTATTGTTTGGCTTTACATTTTGGAAATGATATTAATTGAATCTTTACTCATACCAATTATTTAAAAATAAGGCTTAGGCTTGCACAATATTCAATCATTCAAACAACCAAAGAAGATAGGAGGATTTACGGCATATTGAACGAATAACCTCATAATCCTAATTGAGTTAGGACTTATACTGCATAACTTGATTATGAAAAAACCTAAAGATACTGTGAGAATTTAGGTCGTATAGATGAACAACCTCAAAGCCCTAAGATTTTCTTTTTGTTTAATTATAAGAAAAGTTCAGTTGAAGCTCATCCTTCGCTTTGTGTTGAGTCTTGATCGCCATATGAAGTTGTCCTCTGTCCGCGTGCATCCTCATCTTGCTTCCCAAATAGCTAGCTTCGAGCTCCTTACATATGATGCTTTTGGGTTTTAAAAGACTGTTTAGATTGACAAGTACTCATTACTGTTGGGTTGTTAAGTTTTGTTGAAGGGTTTCTCCTAAACATGTGTCCTACTCTACTCTACCATAGGGGTCCTTTTCAAATGAAAAAGCAAAAATATAATAATGTCACATGCATAAACAATACATGTATAGTAAAGTGCAAAAAAAGGATAAGTGCTAGAGCGTATCTGCCGTCTCTGATCAAATTTCAATTATCACAAACATCAAATATTTAAATTTTAAATATGAAATATTACATAGAACCAAGTGGTGAACATATATGAAAGAACAAAACTAGACATAAGTATTTTGAATTGGGTAAGGGCTCAGATTTATCATTCTTGAGGGACTTTCATAGGCAACCATCGACAATCTCTGTGTAAAAAACCCAATATCGGCTAGTAATTACTAGTAAGATGAGTAAAGGAGGGTAATTCTTAGCCTAATTGAGGTAAATGGTAAATGGACAATCAAAAGGTAGAACGCAAAATTCTTTATTTTTCATGCATATAAATTAATTAGGTTTTCATTCAACAATCAAAATATTAGTTTCACAAGAAACAAATTTTTTGTATCTTTTGTAAATTAGTTGGTCCACGAGTCAATTACAATGTTGGGCCAAAACCACCAACAACCTAAGAAAGCAAGGGTTATTTATTACAAAACATCGGTGAATGGTAGTGCCAATTCTATACCCTCACAAGGTCCATGGGATAGAAGATACAATACTACTATGATATCCCGAATTTAACACCATATGCCTTTTTCATTGCCGCCAATATCACCAATACATCCAACTTATATGCCAGCTTGATGGTCCATATAAATTTTTATGCGTCAAATGTCTTCAATTAGCAAGGAGAGTTTAGACGCAAAGTTTAAAGTCCAAACTCTTGAACATTGGATATTACAGTAGGTTAAGTTTTAGTGGGACACTTCTTATGAACACCCTCAGTTTAATTTGAAAGGGTCTGAATCATATCTTGGTGGGTCCTTGTGAATTTAATTTTTTTATTTTAGTGATTGTTATATTTTTTTAGGGTGATTTCCTCAACAAATTTTAATAAGCCCAATGTCCTATAGAATATCCAAATCTTGGAAAGGTATTCAGAACGTAATACTGGAACACCTTTAAGATATCTTAGAACACCCTCAGTTCATTTGACCTTTCTATATTATTGAGCTGATCCACTCACTTACATTAGGAATATTTCATGGTTTAAATCGTGCTAAACATTTTATGTCTTAATTAACCCACTAGTAAATGTATTGGTCAATTCTTAATATTATATTTAGGCTCATATGGACAAACCCCTAAAGGTACTCTGCAAAGCATTGGGAAATCTTCCATTAGGTTTGAGCTTATAGGATCTCAAGACATTCAATTATGATTTACATTGTCATCTGGAATTGTTCCTCAAGTGATGTTAAACTAATCTTAATTCATTACAAAGCTCTTAAAATACATGGGTAAATTTGTAATTTTGTAAAAGTTTTATAAAAGGGCCTAATTTTGATTAAAAAATTCAACTTTGTCTAACCACTACCTGATGTTCCAAATCAGTGAATCATCAATTCATACTCCTCACTCTTTGATCATCCAAATTTTCATTTCTCTTCATACCCAATAATTGAAATAATTTTCATCCAACCCATTTATAGAAAATGTCATGAGTAGGTTGCCATCCTAATTATCCTTTGTACTTCAATCTTTTTCAGTGAGCTTATCATCACAACCTGGACAAATGCAGCCAGAAGGGTTCACTCAACTTGGACAAAAACATATGATTTGCAAATTAAAGAAATCGTTGTATAGGTTGAAACAATCTTCAAGACTATGGTACAAGTGGTTTGATTCCTACATGATTTAGATTGACTACAAGCGATGTGAATATGTTGTTTTGTTTTTGTGAAGAGCACTGATGATTGTTCTATTATTTTTTTGTTATTGTATGTTGACGATATACTGATTGCTGTAAAGAATATGAATAATATCTGTGGTTTGAAAGCTTTATTGAGTCAGAAATTTGACATGAAAGACTTGAGTCCTACGAAATCGATTCTTATTTATCTTCGCCCTAATTTCTCAACACAATGTTATGAATGTAAACCTTGAAAAAAAAATCTTGCATGCAAGGAAGACAAAACACTACAAATGCTTGATACTTTGTAATTAACATATTTTAAAATACTAATTAAATGGATTTTAATACACTAGACAGCAGCGGAGCATCCAAGGGCAAAGCACGCGGCTCCTCACTCCTTTCACACGTGTCCTCTCCCCTCCCATCACTCTTTATCTTTCCAAATAGTACCACTGAATCCATGAACTCTGCAACGTTCCGGGGAAGGTCACGTGCCAGTCTCCCCTGGCCCCACAGCTACCCGCCACGCGTACGCACGTCTTTTTCTCTTCTCTGACATTTGACGCCATGACACATTAGTTCCCACCAACCCCACCCCTTCGTGTATAAATATATGGCGGCCAAACCCTGCATGGCCACCTACCAGTAAAATACACACCCATAGGTTCTTTTATCATCTTTCCCACTCTCTCTCCATTTGCTCTACTATTCTGGTATGGCTACAGAAATGAAAATCGAGAGGAAATCGTCCATAGAAAAGGAGCCCCTAACTCTATTTTTTGATCAGATACAGTACGCCAGGGTATCATGTTTAGTCTGATCTTTAGTCTTTAATTTGTCCTCCTAATTTGATTCTCTTAACCACGTTTTCTTTTTTTCATTAATGATTTACTTTTATATGCATGTTTGAATCTGCTTGATAGATGTGTGTTGGTTGATTTGCTTTGGCTTTTTATGACAGGAAGCTGCTTTATATGTGCTCAGCACCAAGACGATGGAGGAGGCTCTCCGTATTTTTACTGAAGTGAGTTTGTTGCTTTTCCTTCTTTTAATTGTTGATTTGTTCTGCTCTGTATTAATTTCTGTATATATATCAACAGCTAGTTTTTTCTTAGCTTTTAGGTAGTTTGCTGCGGCGATTTAAGATTCCGTAAGATTTAAAAATGTCATTTTTGGCTGTTTGACGGGATTTAGGTTAAGTCATGCTTGGATCAGGCTCAAATCCTGTTAATTAATAGCCCTAAAGCAATATAATATTTTAAAATATAAAGTTTTATTATGAAATTTATAATTAAATAGTTAAGTAAGCACATTATTTTTTCACTTATTTGATGTCATATTTCATAATTTCAACCCATATGAAAAGTATCATTTCATCTATCAATTATTTTATTCTATTCTCATTTTGTTGGAGAAATTATTTCACGGTATATGCAGAGATGCATGCGCCATCCGATCTCTACCGTTAATCAGAACCTTTATCAATTTTTTTTTTTTAAATGAGCCCACTGAAATACAACTTTGATCTGATCAACGGTGGAGATCCGACGGCGCATGCATCTCATGTATCTCTGCATACGCCGTCCGTATGGAATGATTTTTCCATTTTATTGTGCATCAATATTTCATACTAATAATTCGTCGTGGATAAAGCTCATGCATGCCACCTACTGTTTATGTGCCAATAAAAAAATTAACAAAAGTGCCCATATCTGCAATAATAAATTTTAATTTTAAAAATTGATTATAAAAATACAATAATAGTTATTTAGTTAATTTATTTTTAAAATTTGCCTATTTTTATCTTTATACTACTTATTTTTTTCTATTTAATTAATCTGAACTCTAAACTAGTAATTTACAGGTCATTTATTTAAATACCACCAGATTCTTATTTATTTACATATCTAACACTGACTTTTCGTTTTACATTTATGCCGGCCAAATCTTTCCTATCACAAAAAAAAAAAAAAAAAAAAAAAAAAAATTTTATTTTAAATTTTAAAAAATAAAATATAAATATGGTGGTATGCTTGTATAAATTGAGGTGTCATCCCTGTAAATACATAAGAATTGAGTGGTATGTATGCAAATCTTTGCAATTTTAATATAATGTGATTATTTCTCATTCAATTGGATTTGAAGTTCATAAATTAAATAGATTACTTATCTTATGAGCAATTAAAAAAAATAGCATTATATGAATTCATTTGATACATTTTTAATGTGTAATTGTTAAATTAAATTTTATTATTTTAAATATATAATATTAAAATACCGTTTCCATTGCATACATTTCTTATATTTTTAAGAATAAATAAATAAAGTTATTTTCTTATTTCTATTTTAACTTTTATTTTAGGGTATAGAGTGATATTACTGGTCATGATTATTTATTGGGCCATTACTAGTCATAACTTGAAAGAATTTAGCAGTTCATAAAAAAAGATCAAATCACATCATGAATATTAATCTAACATAACCGAAATAATCTCCAAGCTTCACGACATTGTAAAGATGCATGTTGTAAAAAAAATATTAGATCAGGACTCCGCGCGTAGAGTTACGTGCGGGTTCAATAAAATCACAATACATGTAAAGGTGTTATAGTGTTATTCTGTTATTATAACACCAGAAATATTTTCAGAACATATAAATAACATATAATAACACCAGAATAACACGGGAGGAATATTTTCTCGTGTTACCGGGCCAAATTTTTTTTTTTTCTCACATTCACTTGTGGCGTGATTTCATTGGATTTTGCAAGTAACTCTACATGCGGAGTCCTGATGTAATATTTTTTCGCATGTTGCAGGCTATTTTTTTTCTGTTGAAAAAAATTCTTATTAGTCTAATTTAAAATATGTTTTTAATTATCCTTAATTCTTAATCTTACGTTTTCCTAGTACTCATAATTACAGTAATAAGTGGTTAATGTTTAATTAATTATTTAATTTTGTTTAGGGTTTGCAGCCGGTGCTGAAAATTAGCAAAAACGAGATGGAGATGGAAGATACGGATTTATCAGACCTCAACGGCGAAGATGACAGTTTTCTCCTTCTGGATGAATTCCATGACATCAGTTCTGCACCTTTCTAATGAAGTTTTATATAGAGTTGTTATATATAAAAATAATGTAAATCTGTCTTCCTCAAGCTTTTCCCAGAATGCAGCAAGACAGATGAGGGGGCAATATATTTGGAGTGGAATAAACAATAATAGAAATGTATATCAAAACAATTCATTCCTTTGATAGAAATGTTGGGAACAGGTTACAAAACCGGAAGGAAAAAAAAAAAAAAAAACCAAGCTGCCTAAATGGTTTCCCTTAATGTTTTTCTAATCTATCTAGGGCTGTCAAAACGGCTTGTTGTTCGAGAACAGCTCGTGTTCGACTCGTTAAGAAATTCGTGTTCGGTTCATTGGCTAAGTTAACAAGCCAAATACGAACAAAACGAATAAAGATTTGTTTGTTCGTGTTCGGCTCGTTTTTACTCGAAATACTACTAATCATTTATATATATATATATATCTTTGATGAGTAGTATTTTTAAAAAATCTAATTGACCACAGGGCTACAAATATTTATAATCAATTAAAAGTATTCAATTTTTAAAGTAGATTCAAGTGATGATTTAATATAAACAATAATTTTTAAATCTTGTCCCAATCCTAATATCTTATGGCTACGTGATTAGGGGTGGCAAAACGATTCTTTGTTTGGGAATGAACGGCTCGTGTTCAGCTCGATAAGCAAATGAGCCGAACACAAACATACTTTTTGAGCTCGAAATATAAACTAGACGAACACGAGCTGAGTTTTTGAGCTCGAAATTTAAACGAGCCGAACATGAGCTGAGCCTGGACTCGCACTTGTTCGGCTCGTGTACACCGCTAAATCTATCCCATTTTGTTCAAAATAAATATTTGAGTATATAATTTCCTTGCTCGTTTATTCCATATCAAGATAATAATAATTTTATTGTTATTATTATCCAATTCACTTATATTTTATTTCTAATAATAATTACATGTATATATAAACATTTAAGAATATTTTTTTTCCACTTTATGATTTTCATGTAAGTAATTTAGCGATACTTATTTCTTATGGTTAAATTAGTTCATTAATTATTATTAAAAAATCAAATAATGTAAGAAAATAAATTAATTAACTTTATTTTCTTTATAAATGTCCAAAAGTTTTATTTTATTTTTTTATTTACATGCTTGAGTTTAGGGTTCTTATTTAAATAATAACTTAAGTTTAACAAGAGTATTATGAGTTCGATGTGATCACTGTAGATCTTGAAAATATTTTTATCTAAATGATTGGTTGTGTCATTTGAATTTACTATCCATAATAGAAATATTATCTTAAAATGAAAATCATTCTGATGATGAAAATCTTTAAGATTTATGAGTCTCAACCAAAGATTTTTTCCTTGTCTTACGTGTGTAAAGAGGTTTTATTTTAATTTTAGAGTATGGTAGCCCTACAACAGCAAGCTTCTATAGTTGATTATATCCCAAGAGTTGTATACTCATGAGAATAACCTCAATTAAACTATTAGCTTGTATGATTTAAAATTTCAAGGTTGATATTTTCGAACAAAAAGATTTGAACTTTGAGGAGTTGTTTAAATGACAAAGTTTCAAGGGTTAAAGTTTTTGTTTGGAATTTAAATTTTTGGACTTATAGTCCAACGACAATGTATTATGGAAAGGCTCGAGGGGATTAACAAACTCTAAAAAGAAGGTTTATACTATGTTTAAATTGGAATATTATTAAAAAAATTAGATTTGATTTGAAAGGATTGAGTTCAAAAGATTTTAATTGAATTGAAATTTTTTATTGAAATTTTTTATTTGAGTTGAAAGGTCTGATTTGATTTGAAGGGTTTAATTTTAAAAGTCAATTTTATAGAATTTGATTTAAATTGATTTAATTTGAAAAGAGTTTGGTTGAAGGTTTTAAATGCCACAATCTGAGTTAATGGCTAATTTGAAGGTTGGTTTGAAGTTCGATTTGAAAATTGATTTAAAAGTTAAAAATATTTCTAAATGGAAGTGGAGAGTCTAACTCTAAGGGAAGATCTAGACCTTAAAAGAGGCTAAATATGTGGACTAGCATAAATTCTGGTATGTCGTCTCAGTCAAGATGCTCACTTCTTTCCATGTCTCAAGTTCATCGGTTGCCACTAACCAACAATATAGGAAGAGATCTACAGTGTTACCATAGCGATGGCGAATATTGATCTTTATAACTACTAAGTGTTTTGAGGGGATTCCATTAGTAACCATGGGTTAGTTCATTCTACGGCATCTAAATAATCCAAGGGAGTTGCATACATGGGGTTTTATATGTCCTAGTCCTTAGCATAAACTATGGGTACCTAATAAGCTAACCTAGGCTTCTAAACTTAGACTATTTTAAGGGTATGTGCGATATTAGGATTCGTTTCTAAGTTAGCTAACTTGGTGTACATAGTTGATTTACTTAGGTGCAGTTTTGATTATTAAAATTGATAAAACTTAGATTTCTTGCTTTGATGGGTTTGATGTTTTAATTTGATTTAGTTGAATATCCTGGATTGTCGATCAATATAAAAATCAAATTATTCTAAAGTTGATGTTTTCAATTGTTTTTCTCGTCTAAGTTGATGTTCTTCCATTTGGCTCACTATTCTGTTTTTGAAATGTACATGCTATCAAAAGAATGATTTCATTTGTTTATTATTTATTAATACTTCTGTATTTAACAACTAAATTTAATTCACATGAAATTCTTCTTTTTATCGAAAAAGTACTCTTTTAAAAGTTTAACATATGAGAAATATTTTTTTTTTGTTTATGTAAAATCAATAATTATCACACAAAAATATATATTTATCATGCAAAATATTTTACTAATTAAAGCATTTATCATGAGGATACATTGGAAGTTAGATATCAAAGAATTCTTAAATTTCTATTAGGGTTTGCATATTTTTCTCAGTTAAACATGCAACATGCAAACTTTTTTATGAAAATTTATAAATCTATAAATGCAAATATGCACTTTTGTGAAGATTTAACACTCAAAATCTTATATATTTGACTATAAAATTTTCACATTTTGAGAGAAGAATTAACTTTACCACAAATTTTCTTAGAAATAAGATTTGAGGCTTTAAGAAAATATTTTAAAAAGTAGGTTTAAAATGATAAATTTCAAAAGAAAAAAAAGCGAATTTCATTTTAATACCTTGGTGGGTTTTGAAAAAATGGGTTTGAGAGCTTAAGACTCTTAAAATTTCCTTAAGGAGATTTTACAAATTTACAATTTGATTTAACAAAAAAATATTGAAGCTAAGAATCATAGTCTCTTTTTTTTTTTAAATATTTTTTAAGAGAATGAGTTTTCAAATTTGAACATACATAAAAAGGTAAATGATTAAAAGCACTTTTAATTAAAGCCATTTTTGAAAAAGTAATGTGTTTTACACATAAAATAAATTTGACATTTGGATATTAAAGCACATTTAATTGTGGTTGATGCTAAAAGTTTGAGTGTTTTCAAAGTAAAGCACATTTAATTTAATATAATTTTAAGAAATTAAGATTAACTTAATATAAGATTAACATTTTAGAGCACATTTAAGTGAAGTTACTTTTAAAAGGATTTAAATGATTTCTAAATTAAAACATATTTAATTTCATATAATTTTATGAAAATAAAGTTTAATGTTTTAGAGCACATTTAATTAAATTTACATTTTAAAGGAATTGAGTGGGTTTTAAATTAAACCATATTTAATTTAATATAATTTTTTTTAATATAAAATTTAATATTTTAGAGCGCATTTAATTAAAGTTATTTTTAAAAGGATTTGAATTTTATTCTTGGACTTGTTCAAGTAATTTTTATTCTTAAGTTATTAAATGTGTAAATCATTACAACCTAACAAGCAATTTTTGCAAGTGAATGAACTTACAAGCCCTTAATTTTGGCACATAGGTATTACACACTTTCACAATTATCTATAGCACATGTAATACAACATGTCTAAACTATGCTTTCTTGAAAACATAAAATAACTTATTTTCCTAGCATGAATTTAATTAACCTAAATATAAATTCTATATTTTCATAAGACAAACATACACATCACATGAATTCAGAAAAACCAAAACATGAGTTATCTTTTCACATAGGTTTAACATAAACATTTCATGAATTTCAACAACCTAAATATGGGTTTCAATTTCACATAAATCAAACATAAACAAGTCACATTTATTTTTGGAAATTTAAACATGAATTCTAAATTCACATAAAGCCAACATTAATATTTCATGCTTCTAGGGAACCTAAACATGAATTTTAATTTCATATAAAGAGCCAACAAAAATATATCATGGATTTTGATGGACCAAAGCATGAGTTTTATGTCCACATAAGGAAAACATACACATCACATATATTTTAAGTGGCCGAAGCTTGAATTTCAATTCAATAAAAGACAAACATACACATCACTTGCATGAATTTCAATTTCATGTAAAACAAACAGACACATGACATGGATTTTAAGTGACCTAGGTATGAATTTCAATTCCACATAAGCCAAACATAGCACATGTTTGAATTTTAGGTAACATGAGCATGGATTTCACTTTCACATAAGCCAAACAAAGTGCATGTATGAAATTACGCAACCTAAATATGGTTCCAATTTCACATGAAGCAAATATAATTATTTTCTTAATTTAGGCAACCTAAACATGAAATTTAATTCCACATGAAGCAAACAAAAATATTTCATAATGGGCTTAAAGGGACCAAAGTATGTTTTAAATCCACAAAAGACAAAATACACATCACATGAATTTTCACAAATAAATTAAAAAAAATATATTTGAAACATATGCTCAAATATATCTTTTTCCTTCATATTTTATAAATACAAGTGTTATATATTTAATTTTGAAAGTTTAGGTGCGAGATACAAAAGTATTTAATACTTGTGTGCTAAGTATGTGAATTTGCCTTTAAAAAGGGGCATTTACGTTCATAGCACACAATGCTTATGTTTCTACATTTCTTAAATCTAAACATTAATATTTTCACATATAGCACTCCAAACTTCAATATTACTTAAAAAAAACAACACTATTATCAATTTTTTTTAAAGAAATAAA